TAATAATAACAAATTATTCACATTGACATGTATATAGTGCTAGTGTATCACTTAAGTAGTATCGTTTTAGAGAATGTTTAATGTATTGAAAATATTGCTGATTAATCTCTTGTGAGAAGTAAAAATATATTTAAAAATCATTACTGAGATTGAGAATCTCAAAACTTATTTGTAAAGAACAGCTGTAAAGAATTTGTAAGAAACAGCTTTAAAGTATTAAATTATGAGGTTTAGTTTAATATTTATATAATTTATTCAGGTGTTTTAAAATTTAATAAACAGAGTTTATTTCTGTATACTACTGCAACTTATAAAGTTAATTTCTCTTCTTTAAGAACTTTTTTACTTAAATTTTTTTTAAATAGTATGGGTTTTGTGTATTTGTTAATTATTCTAAAATTGTTAACTTCATTCACAAACTAAATAATACTAATAATTAAGGGCAAGATTAGAGTACTATTGAAACTGAAATATTAACAACAAAAAAAAGAATAAGATATGTGATCGAAAAATTTTACTAGTTATCTCTTTTTATTAATAAGCATTTGTTGTCCATTCAAACATCATTCAAGTAGTTCAATTTCATCTTTTAAGTTGAAACTATGGTTATTCAAATTAAAGTTGGTAGTAGTTTCAAGGAAATTAAATAGAGTAAAGATTTACAAATGTATTCATTGATTAGCTGTCAAAATGTTGTTTTCAGTATAGTGAAATGCTTATATAATGTATTGCTTATATTAGTATAGTGATATGCCTTTTTAAAATAGTGAAAATCAAAATTGTGATAGTATGTCTTCGGATCATCCTCAGGTACTATTGAAAATATACTATTGACTGTCGCCAATAGCCCATTGTGTAGCTCTTGTATGACATAAATGAACTACAACAAATACTTACCAATTAGTATTTCAATTAAAATACACCAATATACATTCTGCAATAAGGCTTAGATATCAACTTGGCTTTAGATATACCCGGGTTGTAATAATGACTGTTTAATAAGTAATCAGGTTTGTCCTCACTAGCCCCACAGCTTGTAACATTTGCTGTCCTGTGTTATAATAGTGGATACCGAAAAGAATTTTTTTTTTTAAATATTATGGGAAAAATCAACAACTTTGCTATTTCATATCTAAACCCGAATGCAGGTAGATAATTGCTCAAATTATTAAAAGCATATCTTACCTGTTAAAAATTATACTAAATATGGTTTTTTGACAAATTTGTAATAATGTCCACTAGTATAATTTTATTGCTATATTTTTAAGCTAACTTTTTTCATTAATAAGTAATGCAATGCAGATAAATTAATTCNACAACATAATAAGTTTGCAAATTTATTTACAAATTTATAAAAGTTATTGCAGATGTAAAAGGAAACTCTACTTAATATTTCTAATTAAATTGTTTTTAATGTATTACTTCAATTTTTTATTTTATTATTCTTCATTTACTTTTTTATATATTTGCAATTTAGTATCAAACTTGTAATAGCAACATTATATTTTAATTTTTTCTTCGCCGTAATATTTCATCCTCAGTTTGTGTAAAATATGGTAAAAAATATTCTGCTTGAATTTCCCACAACATAATAAGTTTGCAAATTTATTTACAAATTTATAAAAGTTATTGCAGATGTAAAAGGAAACTCTACTTAATATTTCTAATTAAATTGTTTTTAATGTATTACTTCAATTTTTTATTTTATTATTCTTCATTTACTTTTTTATATATTTGCAATTTAGTATCAAACTTGTAATAGCAACATTATATTTTAATTTTTTCTTCGCCGTAATATTTCATCCTCAGTTTGTGTAAAATATGGTAAAAAATATTCTGCTTGAATTTCCCACAACATAATAAGTTTGCAAATTTATTTACAAATTTATAAAAGTTATTGCAGATGTAAAAGGAAACTCTACTTAATATTTCTAATTAAATTGTTTTTAATGTATTACTTCAATTTTTTATTTTATTATTCTTCATTTACTTTTTTATATATTTGCAATTTAGTATCAAACTTGTAATAGCAACATTATATTTTAATTTTTTCTTCGCCGTAATATTTCATCCTCAGTTTGTGTAAAATATGGTAAAAAATATTCTGCTTGAATTTCCCACAACATAATAAGTTTGCAAATTTATTTACAAATTTATAAAAGTTATTGCAGATGTAAAAGGAAACTCTACTTAATATTTCTAATTAAATTGTTTTTAATGTATTACTTCAATTTTTTATTTTATTATTCTTCATTTACTTTTTTATATATTTGCAATTTAGTATCAAACTTGTAATAGCAACATTATATTTTAATTTTTTCTTCGCCGTAATATTTCATCCTCAGTTTGTGTAAAATATGGTAAAAAATATTCTGCTTGAATTTCCCACAACATAATAAGTTTGCAAATTTATTTACAAATTTATAAAAGTTATTGCAGATGTAAAAGGAAACTCTACTTAATATTTCTAATTAAATTGTTTTTAATGTATTACTTCAATTTTTTATTTTATTATTCTTCATTTACTTTTTTATATATTTGCAATTTAGTATCAAACTTGTAATAGCAACATTATATTTTAATTTTTTCTTCGCCGTAATATTTCATCCTCAGTTTGTGTAAAATATGGTAAAAAATATTCTGCTTGAATTTCCCACAACATAATAAGTTTGCAAATTTATTTACAAATTTATAAAAGTTATTGCAGATATGAAAGGAAACTCAACTTAATATTTCTAATTAAAAAAATCATAATATTTACTAATAGGCATAGATTTTTTTGAAAGTGTGCAATGACTTTTTGTGCGATAAAGTTTTTGATCATTGATTACTTAAAAATAAACTTCATTGGAAGTCATGAGTGTACCAACACTTTTGTGAGTCACTGTAATTACAGGTTGTACTGTATACTGCATTTTATCTTAACAGTGCTTTTCAAAAAATTCATTGACCATATTTTCTTAAAACCAATATCTCAAGTCAAATTTTTAAATAGTGCTTTTTTGAATTAGCATTATTATTTTAAGAGATTCGGTAAAGAAAAATAAATGTCACAAATGTAAAATAGTCTTATAATTATTTTTTTTTTGTATACTCTGCAGAAAAAAAAAGATTAATTCTTCATATTTGATTTTTTTTTTTTCTTATTTGAAATTAAAATATTTAAGGAATTTCAATCTCAGCACATAGTTTTTTACTTTAGTATAGTTAATTGTTTTAACAACTAGAGTCTTTGTACAGTGCAGCTAAGTTTTGTTTTCCTTCTTCGTACTAAACACATACAAAGGTTTCGTACTGAACACATAAAAAACCTTTCTTTAAAAATTATAATATGTTATAAAATGTTAAAATGAAATAGTAAAAATTATCATTAATGCAACAATTGTAACAATTTTTCAACAAATATCACTGTCAGCTATTGTAAAAAATATGTGTGGTTGGTTGTAATTGGTATTGAATTGTAAATAATTACATATATATTTTTCATTGCATTCTTTATTTGTTTTTCGCTAATTCTTCTCTCAAAACAGACAAAAGTTTTAGGTGTATGTCTAATTTTCTTTCTGTGGGCACATCTTTTAAGTAAAATTTCATTAGTTGTGAAAAATGCTCATCCTCATTATCTTCAACACATAGTTTTTTTAGCAAATTATCAGTCTGCTCCAAACTGTTGAGAATCACCTCAGCTTTTCTTTTTCTAATAATTCTCTTCGTGAGTTGTCCTGAAGTAGAAGGTAATGGAGTTGAAGGTAATGGAGTAGAAGGTACACCTAAAATATGAATATAAAAAATGATAATATGTATAGGAAATACATAAATTATATTACAGAAATTAGAAAAATATTATGCTTCAATTAGAAAGTAAAAAGTTGCAAAATCTCTGATAAGACTAAAATTTAAATTTTTAAATGAAGGCAAGATTGATTGAATAAAAAAGTAAATTCTGTATTATTGCCTAAAAATTCAATTCACAATTCCCTGAATTTTTTATAGATACTAATTTATATTTGGGATTCAGATGAAAAGATAATAATAAAAAATAATCAAAGGTTCGGAAAAATTGATCAGCTTTTGTGTTATTAACAAATGTGATTCGTGTTTGCAATGTGTTTTTTTACTCGTAAAAGTATTATGGCTTTTACCAATAACCTTTCTTGATTTCCACAATTAGATTCAAAAAGAGTAAATAGTAGAAAGAGTAGGGAGCATGGAAGTGATATTGCCATCAATCTCGTTATATTTATTAACATTACTGATAAAACCTTTTGATACTTAAATAAGTTTATTAAAACTAAAATTTTATATTATGATATAAAATGTCCTATATTACCAAGAAAAATTTTAATAAAGCAAATGTAATAAAAACTAACAACAAAAGAAAAAGCGATGCATAAAATGTCGGAAAAATTGGTATAAGATTTAATTTTAAAATTACCATGCAATAAAATGTGAATCTACTGCAACTCCAAAGAGACATGCAATAAATATAAATGTTAAGCAACATTTAATATTAAATTCTAACCACAGCATTGAGCAATTCAAAATTTTCACTATAATATGGATATATCATGTATAAAATATATAGCCAACATTACTATTGTTCATTAAAAGTAACAGTAAAAATTTTAAAAATAAACTATAGTTTCAAAACACAAAAGTCAATATACTAATACTACAAAAGTAAACTTGGTTTCAACATACTTTGCAAGAATATTTCCTGAGTATTATCAGCAAATGATGTGTTGATTTCACACTCAACTTCATTTTCTGTATCTGAAACGTTAAATAAAACTCATATAAATATGAAATAATCGAAAGGAATCTAATTAAGACAATAAATTCATTTCCTTTTAACCACGTAGAAGAAGCAAAAAGTTCTAGCAAAATAAAAAATTACTTCATACACAAGAATAAATTCATAATAGGGTGCACAATTAGTATCCAGATCATTATTAATGCTATATATGAGTCACTGGACAAGAAATTAACTTGTACATAATAATCTGATATGAATGCAAATATGTCAGAATTTTCCCCTATTTTCACTGGAAAATAAATATTGTTGTTAAAATGGATATGACCCATATACTTATTTTAGTTAAACTCCAATTCAACCATAATTAAATAAAATAATAAATATTCAATAAAGATTATTTTTTGCATAGAACTATCTTTGGACAAACGAATTTCATAACTATATGCAAAAAGTAAAATTAATGTTAAGTGGTCAAAACTTTTAAACTATTTGGGTCCTTATTCTGTAGGTCTGAAATCTGTTAACTAGATTGGAATTATGCATTGTTTGAAAAAGAGTCTTCCACTTAAGGAACTTTGATTCTACTTAAGCTTAAATTTTAATCATAGTTACCCAAATCTTCAATTATTTCTGGTCTTGGATAAGCTTCAGAAATATTTTCCTTCTCCGCTTGATTCTCAATTTCCTGAGAAAAATTATTGAAGGTTCTAAAAAATATTAACAAAATCATTTAATTAAAAAGTATACATTCATATACACTTCGACCATATAGCAAATATATATTTCAAACACTTACTCTTTTTTCTCTTTTACATGGTCTTGTAAAAAATTTAGGGCTTCCATGTAAACCCATGGCTTTTTCTCCACAGCTGCCGAGCCACTTGGCTTTCGATGTTTTTCCCTCACATACGAAGTTCTGAGGGATCTCCACCTCTTTTTAACTTCCTGAACTATAAAAATATAACAGTACAATGTATCAGAATAACAATGATTTACGCAATAAGAAAAACAAACACAATATAGAAGTTAAGAGAATCGTGAAATAAAATAAAAGATATTACCTAAAGAAAATTTCACGATACCTAAATTCTCAGAGGATAAGTTTGAAAATGAATACCTATACATGTTACTGTGAATGGCCCTAATCAAGAAAATGTCGACTTTCACCAGTGAATGTCAGCAATCACAAATTGTCCAAAATATTTGTTATATCCAATTTGATATTAATTTATTAAATTATATTATCAGTGTAGGGTATACCTGACAAATGTATACCGGGCAGTGGCACTGAACCTAAAAAAAAAAAAAAAAAACATCAGTGTAGAATATATTGGGCAGTGGCACTTTACTCTAGGATATATTTTGGACATTTACCAAAGGTAGTCATACTACGTTTAGTTAAGTGCCACTGCTCAGTATACATTTGCCTGGTATATCCTACCGGGCAAATGTATACCCGGCAGTGGCACTTAACCTTAAAAAAACATCAGTGTAGGGTATACCGGGCAGTGGCACTTAAACTTAAGTGGCTCGGTATACCCTACACTGTTTTTTTAAGATCAAGTGCCACTGCCCGGTATAACCTACACTGATATTTTTCTAAGGTCAAGTACCATTGCCCCGTATATATTTGCTCGATACACCAAACACTGATGTTTCTTCTAATCTATCGAAGATAACTACATGATTATCAACATTCACCAGTGAAAGTCAACAACGACCAATTTCTGTCTTTCACAGTAACATATATATATATATATATTTACGCAAACATAAATTTAAATTTATACTTAGTTCCCTTTGTAAATAGGTGAAAAGTTGAAATCGAAAATAATTTAATGCCATAGTTATTCTCAAAGATACCATACACACTATGTATTTCATATTTATAGAATACATAGTGTATGGTATTTATATTTCGAAAATCGTATGGTTCTAATTCAATTCGTATGGTATCTATATATTTCAAAAATAGTTTTAATTTGCAAAAACTTAAGTTATGACACGTTAAAAAAATTAATATGCATAATTAAATAAGTATAATATTATACAAATACAGTAGCATGCAATTCAAACACATAACAATTTTTATTCAGTTGGGATACCCTTTCGTTGCAACAAATACACGATATAAATTTCGATAAAATAACAAATATAAATTTCGTCGCAAATATACACCACACCATATATGAGTAGGTATCATGCGATTCAAAGCTTTTTGCATACATTTGTATCTAAACATGTGAATGATTTTATGAAAATTACAAAGTAAATAAAATATATTCACTTTTGTTAAAAGTTTTGTATAAAACTTCAAGTAGTAGATATATGAAGGGAAAATAATGAATACAGAATTAGAATTGGCATTTTTCTCTGCCACTAAAAGATATTTCTATAATAGACAAGCAACCAATTTTAATAACAAAAAATTTAAATTTTAAAACAAATTAGACTTAGATCAAGTTTTAAAACCGGGTGAAATGATTTTTAAATTTATCCTCATGCTCTTAGAAACTGATCGATGACAATAATATTAAGATAAAATTTCAAAATGACTTGTACTCACCATCAGTCTTCAACAACTCCGCCAATTTCTTCCATGAATTCAGTTTTTTTGTAGAATCTCTAAAATCTGCCCTGCTGGCATCATATAGCCAAGGGCATTCCTGCACAAAGTTTATGATATCTTCAGTCATTTTTCTTTATATAACGAAAATCTACTAAACTATCAAACTATCGAAAACTACCAAAGTGTAAACAATCCGTTCAAGATTTTCGCTTCACAGGGGAATTGTTGCTGGCTGTTGCAACAACGGGAGAAAGGAAGAAGTGCGCATGCGTCAAACCTCGGCAACATGCGATTTGTTGTTGTTGCAGTCGGTATGAAGAAACCTTAAAAGCTTTAAAAAACACGACTCTTCTTTCTGTGACACATCGCGATCGCGGGCCGTATTGATACGAACCGGGGGCCGGATGTGGCCCGCGGGCCGTATCTTTGACATGACTGGCTTAGATTATGAGGGGAAGTTTTTAAACCTTCAGGTCATTATGGTCTACTGTAGATAGAATGAGATTAGGGTTGGGGATTGTTCTGCGACGTACGTCACAGTTTTGGGCACTTTCTGCTTCTGGGCAGTGTTGCCGGAACTTAAGATTAAAAAGTAGCGAATGG